TTCGACCAGCCTTTGCACAAGCAGAACCAACCACATAATTACACAATGAGCAAATTTATTGGTAGAAGTGATAACCAAAAAGAAAAAAAAAGAAAGAACAAGGATATCAAATAGTTAGAGTCAAACTTAGTGGCTAGAACACAACACAATAAATGGATGAAAAAACACAATGAACAACGACCAAAGTAAAAATAGACAATAATCGAAAGTCGAGAAATAATAAACTATATACATTATATAAACAAAACACATTGAAAAAGTACGTCGGTCTTTCAATTCTTGTAAAAAGCTTCCTCAAACTATTACATGTAAAGAAATAAAAGAGAGGCCAACCTTTTAGAGACATATAAGAAAGTAAATGGATTATGTGTGGTTAAGCAATGTAAGTGTAGTAAAAGTTCATTATCCTTTATTTATCTTAATTTTTTTAATGAACAAAACCACAAAAAAAAAAAGAATAATGGTTTATTTCACATAATATTTTTGACGTAATACCTACTAGTGACAAGCCTTTGGTAAACAATTTTTTTTTTTTTAAACGTAAAACAAACATAATGAGAGCAAACCTACAAATAGTTGTTTCCAAATAAACAAAAAGCAAGAAGATAAATGTCTAAAATTTTTGAATATAATATAATAAATTTATCTTATGAAATTCAACATAAAACAATTAAAAAAAATCAATTCTTGAAGACATAAGACTCAATATCCATCCTCTTAAAAAAATTAATAATAATATTAAGTGAACACTAACCATAGCAATAATTTTAGTTTCAAAAAACAGCAACCTCTCCTCCATAACCATCTCCATAAGTCTGTTTCCATCACCACTATCGTCAAAAGCTACATATGTAAAGCATAAGTCCTAAAAACGAGCATTTGCCAAAAATGAATGGATCCAAATATTTTAAGATTTTCAAAAATTTAACAAACTATATTTATTAAAGAGTTTAAAATAAAAAATTAATTTTAAAATATATAAAATCGACTAAACCTTCTCCATCCTAGAAGCTACGAACATTGACCAAGAATTCATTAATTCATATCTCCCTTATTTCACAATAACTTGCAAAAATATATAAAGTTGAAAAAAAATCATGAATTTTTTTTTTAGAGATGAACATAAAAATTTAGGTCGAAAGATTGTTCATATATAAAGTTAAAGCTTCATACATAGACTTTAGGAATTCTCAAATCAATTTTACGTAAATGAAGGCAAAACAAAGATGAAACAAAAAAATATGACAAGATTTAAATTAGAAAAAAAATTCTTACCAACATCAAACCAAACTTTGGAGTTGCATTGAGGATAGAAATGTATCGAAATCAGATTTTCAAGTATCATGTTTACTTGTAAAAAAGATAAGAGCAAATATATCCATATGTTCTTATATAATACTTAAAGTCTCTCAACAGTTCTTAGATTTCTAATTACATTCTATTTGTTCTTAAAAAAATTAAAATGTTCAATTTGCCATTCCGATCAAATTTTTCGATTATGATTTTTTTTACCAAAATATCTTTTACTAAAATGCAAAAAAAAAAAAAAAAAAACACTTAAAGTCATAAGATTTACATGATCTATTTTTGAGGTTTTTTTTTTTTTTTTTTTTTTTTTTTTTTTTTTTTTTTGCATTTCAATCGGGGACATTTCGATTAACTTTTTTGTTATAAAAATTGATTGAAAGACATGTTGAATATTTCAAGTACTATTAAGGACAAACAAAATGCAATCAAAAACCTAAGCACACATGGAAGACTTTGAGTATGATATAAAGATAAATGAGTATATTTACCTAAATAATAATAATAAATTAGCCTTGTAATGGATTCAATTAACTTTAAATATTTGATAAAATTATAAATAACATATTTAAATCCTATAAACATATCAAAGTAGATTAAAAACAAAAAACTAATATGTAATAAGTGTAATGAGCATGAAAAATCAAGAAATTAAAGCAAAATTAATTACTATCATTTAAATTTTCTATCAATTTTGTGTTTCCTATCTATTTTGCCTTCATATATCTCTCGCTCAAATAAAATTAATTTGAGTGCTTATTCTCTCTATCTTTAGGTCTCAAATCCCTCTCATATCCTTAAAACCTTTTTTTTTCCTTACACAATTTTGCCTTCTTCTTCTTCTTCTCCTCTCTCTCTCTCTCTAACTATAAATAATCCTCTAAAATAATGCTTTCAAAATCAACCATTGTCACTTACAGACTTGCACTTCAATATTATCATGGTCAATTTTCTTAGTTTCTCTCTTTCTTTCCATTCTCCACTCTTACTCGAACAAATCTCTATGTCTTTTTCAATATGACACCGTAGACAATTGAAAAAATCAGAGAAAGAGAAATAAAAGTATCATAAGAGTCGGAGAGAATTAGAAAGAAAACTATGGAGAAAACTATAAGGTTTTTTTAAGAGAGAGACAAAATTGAGTCGAGGTTTTTCTCTTCTTCCTTTCATTATGGCAAAGGACGGATAGGGTTAGTTGAAGAAAGTGAATGATAGATGCAAAATACGGAGAAATAATATGGAAATAGACCATAAGAGAGGAGAAAATGATCTTCTTGTGATAATATGCTCAAAATTGAATCATAAACATTTGAAAGATGTGGAAAAGGAGATGAAAATGAAATGAAAAAGGGTCATTGAAAACAAACATATAATCTTGAAAAATTAATGATGAAATATTAGTACCCTCTCTCAAGAAAACAACGATGAGAGGACTAAAAAGAAAAGAGAATTGGAAAGAAAACCATGGAGAAACCTATGAAGTTTTTAAAGAGAAAGGCAAAGCAAAGTTGTGCTTTTCTCTTATTCTTTTCATTGTGGCAAAGCAATATTGTGGGAATAAACCATAAGAGAGGAAAAAATTATCTTCTTATTATATAATGCTCAAGATTGAACCACAAACGAGTTGAAAGTTGTGGAGGTGGAGATCAAAATGCAACGGAAGAGGGCTAATCTCATTGAAAACAAACCAATACTCTAAAAAAAACAATGATTAAACACAGCTCCCTTTCTTTAGAAAACAACGATGAGAAGATAAAAAAACAAAAAAAAGAAACAAACAATCATTGTCTAGATACAAAAAATAAATAAAGTCAAAATCGCCAAAAATAGAAATAAAATGACAAAAAATACTAAATAGTAGGGAAAAAAAAAGAATAAACAAAAAGTCATAAAGTAAAATAACACAATCTCTCAATGACATCAAAACAATTAAACAAAAAATAAAAAATTCAGAAATGAGTAACTTACAAAACAATAAAGCCATTCAAACAATTAAAAAAAAGCATAAATATTGTTTCTTTTTTTTTTTTAACAAAAGAAACAAACAATAGTATAGAAGAGCATTAAATGCTTTGCCAAAAAGAAATAAAAAATGACAATAGAGGTAATGGCAAAAAAGAAAATATGCATAAATTTAATGACAAAAAAGAAAGCATACACAAAATACAAGATTAGTAGATGAACAACTTGCAATGCAAAAGAAAAAAAAATATTAGAAAGCAAATAAGATCACCAAATCGAACAAGTCTTAAACAAATAAGATGAAGAATCAACGATCGATACACAACAACAATAGAAAGGAGAGTTGGCTCATAGTTAACATGAGTCATAATGAATAGTGAAAGAATAATAAACTCCTAGCTTCTTTTAGCTTGTTTTGAAAAATACAATGATGAAGCAAGTAATATCCTCTCCGTAGAAAACAATGACTAGAGGATTAAAAAAAAACAACTAGTCATTATTTAGACAAAAAAAAAAAAAAAGTAAAAAGGTTAAAACCACTAATGCAGAGCATCGAATGCTCAGTCAAAAGAAAAAAATAAATAAAATAAAAGAGAGAGGCTAAATAGTAAGGGGAAAAAAAAGAATAAATGAAAGATCCAAAACTGATATAACACATTTATTCAATGACATCAAAGCAATTACACAGAAAATAAAATAAAAAGAAAATAAAAATTGATAGAAAATGACAATTAAGAAAAATAATAAATAATTAAAAAGCCATTGAATGCCCTTGAAAATGTTCTACCATATCAATAAATAATAAAAATCATTCAAACGATTAAGAAAAAGTATAAATAATTAAAAAAAAACAAAAAACAAAAACAAAAGAATAGTAGCTCCGAGGAGCATTGAATGCTCTTGCAAATGCTCTACTAAAGAAAATAGAAAATGACGGAAGCCACAATAGCAAAAAGAAAATATACATAAAATTCAAGACCAGTAGATGAACAATTTGCAAAGCGAAAGAAAACAAAGTTGAAAAAACAAAAAGGAAGAGTAAACGATCGGGACGCAACAACAATAGAAATTGACAGTGATCCGTAGTAAACATGAGTCATAACAACCGATGGAAGAATAATAAACTTCTCATTTTTCTAGTTTGTTTTGTTAATTGTTAATAAGTATACACGGTCTTACTCACATTGGGCTCATTAGTGAATAATTAATGGGTTTGGTTGTACAGGTCACTAGTTTTGTAGCCGGCTCACTGCCATCTTCAGACCCAATCCTAATCCCAATCAGGTCGGCTCTGTTCGGTTGATTCCATGCTTTGCCCATCAGCTACTTTCTTTATTGACGACGACGACGACGACGACGACTAGCAAGAGAGGGAAATTTTAGATTTATATTCTATATAGTAACATCTATTATTATTATTATTGTTATTGTTATTACTGACCTAAAAAAAAAAAAAGCAGGTACATACAAATCCAATCCAAAATCCTTTCGTTTTCATCCTCTTATTCATTGATCCAAAAACAACAACAATTTATGAAAATCTTTCATTCCCTTTCCTCTGTAGACTGTAAGTAAAGTATAGTAATTATTGTTGTTATTTAAAATCACCGTCGTCGTCTTCTCTTATTTATTTATTTGAAATTTTGAATACTAGATGGATGCAATGTATTGTTATTGATAGATTGAGACTTGCGAGGCAGAGGCAGAGGCAGAGGCAGAGACAGGAAGCAGCAATGGCAGATTGCGTAGCAGTTTCTTCACCTTCATTTGCCAATTTGCATTTGCGGAGAAGCTGTGTCAAAGCTAGGGCTTCACAAACGTAATTTTTTAATTTTTATTATTCTCTCAGTCTTACTCACTTGCATTTCATCCACTTCGCTATATATTATTTGTATTTTTAATATCTTTTGATTCTCTTGAAATTTGACCCCTTTTTTTTTTTTTTTTGAACTCTTGAGTGGAAATGTATTTCGTAGGCTGCAGTTTTTCTTTCTGAGGAGATTCACGAAATAATAGTTGTGATTTATTTCCCTGTTTTGAGCTGAAACTTGTATTTTCTTGCATTTCAAATGATGATTCGGATTGTTTTTTCTTGTGCCTGTAGAAAGTATTCCTATGGAAACTTTAAAGTTATCCAGCTCTCTACACGGAAAACATGCGATTCTGGGCTCTCAAATTTGAAAGCAAGTCCTGTTATCAGGAGGACTTCCTTAAAGCGCCGTTGCTTTGGATCTTTGGTCGACCCTAATGGTGCAGTGCCATCTGCTTGGATTTCTGTCAGTGATCAGTTACTTCTGATGGCTAGTATATTTCTTACATATATGGCTGGAGTAATTCCTCTCCGCAACTCTGATTTCACTACTCGGAAGAATTTCTTGGAGGACAATGTGGTCGTTGAAACCCCAACTTCTTCTGGTAGGTAAGGGTAAGCAGATTAAAGATTTCAATTTTGAAAGATGTTTCACTATGCATAGGTAACAAGCCATTTTGCGTTTCTAATGACTGAAGTAGTGGTGCAATGCGCTTATTTATTTATGCTTTAGTCTTTTAGTTGGTGAAGATAGTTTCTTTAATTGCAGTTATAGGAAGAAAGATGACCACGTTAATTTAAAGCATGCTTGGGATGCAGTGAAGAAAAAACTTTTGGATTCTCTAGATTCTATGGAACGCAAGAGCAACATGGGAAACAAAGTCCTTCAATTTGAGCAACAGCATACAAAGCGACCTTTAAGTTTGTTTGCTGTATCAGAGGGCCCAAAGTTGCGATTGCTGTGGGCTTCTTTGCAGAGGCTTGAGGAAGAGGCAGGCACCGTCACTACTGTCTCTTTATCCTATAACTGTCCACTAACCAATAAAGGAATTACTTCACTTAATTTGTTATCTTTCAGTAAATCATTACTTTTCATTTAGCTAGATGAGTGCTTGAGTTGGTTCAAAAGGCATTTATGGGGGAAGAAAAATAAGAAAAAAAGTTCATTAAAATGGCTATTTTTCCTTGTATTTGCAAGATAGGTAATAAATCATATATGCCACACAATAAGAAGATTGTGTGGCATTTTATAACCGTTAATGATTTCTGAATGCTTCTTGATTATGTATTCTAAAGTTACTTTACCTATGAACCTAGCATAACATTTATTTACTGGTTAAATATAAAGGTTTGTGGAAGTGTCTAATTGTTATAATGATCGAACATCCGAGAAATAAGTTTTTCTTAAAAGTCATTATCTAGTCATGCTCCCACCATATCTGGATCCTAATAGAGAAAATTTGGAGATACTCCTTCTCTTCATCATTTTTGTGTGAAGTGGCTTCTCCTATGACTCAAACCATAGCCTTGTAGTAGAAAGCTAATCTGACATTTTTGGAATGATCTATTTATAATCGTTTTGTATAACTCTTTGTTACGATTTATTTGAATTTTCTGTATCTAACTTGTAATTTAAACATGTTTGAGGTATGGAAGTTGTACAAATGCGATGTTATTCTAATACTATATAGAGGCTGAGTGTCTTACCTGTAAACTACATTATAGCATGGCTAAAAACTAACTTCCTTTACATACTTTGTGAAATGAACCTGCAGTTTCTTGCTGTATAGTGACTTAACACTGATTTTAATTTGTTGTATAATTTTTTCATTTTGGTAATTTAGAGTTTCATAAATTTGGTTTGCAGGTAAATAAAGTATTTGCTGATTGTGATGCTGTTAGCATGGATGATTGGCTGACAATATTTCCTGAAATTATTCAAAAATCCTGCCACCCCGTATGCATGGCTTGGCTGGTAGAGGAGCTTCACCTAGAAAACAAGAAGTCTGACATGGTAGATCAGATAAACTTAAAGTATTGCTTATAATTTTTCTTTACCTCTCTTGTTGAGTAACTCCTCTTTTCTCAGGCGCTTGTTTCTTTGATGTTCGAGAAGTTGAAGGGAGATGATATTGTTTTGCAGAATATTAGAAAGTCAGGCAAAGAAGATCTTTATGCAGAATTATTATACTTTCTTAGATTTGGTTCTCTCAGGTAACATCTGTAACAAATGCCTTGTTTTTTCTCCTCGTCTAAAATGCTTAAGATTTTTCATCTCATTCTTCCTCAAAACTTGATTATGAATACTGTAGAATTTGAGTTTCTAGAGTACAATTAATTGGAACAATGATAACATTTTTCTGCCATCTTCAGTACTGTTACTAAGATTCATGATCTCTTGCTACTATTCTATGTATGTGATGATTTCTTCCTCTTTAAAGCAGTGCCACCCCCCAAGAAAAAAAGAAAAACATATTGCCTAAAATCCACAAGACAGTGCTTTAGCTGCACAGTCTTGATCTTACTCTTCTCCCTTGCTTTGCAAAGACAAGATGAGTACTGTTGGGCTGAATAAAGCCTCTGGTGTTGATTGTTTCTCCCAATGCATATTTGCTTGATTTACCCTTGAGAACCATATTTAACTCATAGTACTTAGTTTCGGATGAATGTACTTTTATCACCTTGATTACCTTTTTAAAACTTTTTTCTGTATTTTCTGAGGCCTAGGATAAATCATTGTTTTTAAACTTTGTCAATCTGTTTTGACAACATATCCCGTTGGCTTCAAACCTTATTACATGTGAGCCTAAACCTGCTGTAAAGTGGAAAAAATGAGTTCAAAACTCCTTTAAAAGATGCTCCCTCTAATAAGTGCTACAGAAATGGTGTGTTTATTATGAGTTTTCTCCACACAGATACATAGTATCAATGGAGCCAGCAAATTCTGTAGTAATTAGTTAAGAGGGAAAGGATGGGATTTCAAAATCTCCTTCCACTATGCTGTTTTTATGGTTGGGAGAGGTTGCCACATGCATAGAGGTAATTGATAAATCAACGTTCATTTCTGGTGTTCTACAATTGCATGAAGATCATGGATCACATATAGTCTAATCATATGGCAGTGTTATGCAGATAGGACAAATCATCATCAGCTACTCTTAGAAGCTTGTAAATCTCAATTACTTCCAAACCGCATAACATTTACATTTCATATGGTGTTCAGGCAGATTCCTCTGACACTTCTTGTCTGGGATTTCAGATTAGTTTTAGCTCTAGTTTTTGGCTTATATAATTAACTTCATTTATCTGTGGTGAGATATTTGCTTTACTGTTCTGGTGTTTGTGTTTAGCAGGAAGAGCTGCTGTTATGATTGTAGACTGTTTGTTTTGCATGGAGATTCCATATTGGAAGATTTGGTGATAACTTTAGCAGATGGGATTGCTAGTGTTTATCTGGAGCTTATTTCTGTTGATGGTAATTTATCAAATGAAATGAACAGCCTGGATATGTTTATGTGTAATTTGTCAACCCGAGCACTCCAGAGATTACGCAATGAGGTTAGTTTTCTTGGTTAGCTTGAGAGCATGATTAGTGCACAACCAGTTCATTAACTGGAATGGTAAGGTCTTGTACTCTTTTTTTTTTAGAAAAAAATTGATTCTCTCTCCCCCTTACACACTACCTGTCCCTGATATAGGGCTAACTGCATGTTTGTCATTAATTTTGGTATCTTGTTTTTGTGATCCTGCCATTTCACTTTCTTGTCTACTCTGTCATTGGCTTATCCTTTTGTTTCAGTTACTGGTCAGAGACTTCACCTATTGCAATTTTACACTCTTTGCTTCTCTCTCTTCTTTTAGGTCTGACAAATGAGATCTGTGTTTGTGTTGTTTTTTGTAGTTGCTCATAAAAGCTGAAATTCTCACTGATTATATAATAGATGATATTACTGAATATGCAGATTTTTCGCTAAAAAACTGTTGTTAACAGGTGGCTCTGAATCAGTGGATGTATCAAAATGTGGAGGCAGTTGTATCAATGTATGAGGACCGATTTGATCTGTGTACTCTTCAATTGAAAGTGAGTGAAGAACCCAGCGAGAATCAGATTGAAAATCATACTTGGTGGAAGAAGCTTACTCTGAGAAAATCTGGAATGGTGCGATCTTCATGTTTCAGTGCTATAAGCCACTTCTCTATGTCTGTAAAGCGGACAAAGGAATTGAGAGCCTTGACAGGGTGGTAAGTCCCTCCTCCCTCCCACCGCCACAAACACACTCATGCACACAACACACATGTGCCTGCATACAGCATTTGTTTTCTATACCTCCTAAGTCAGTCCCCAGATGATATCACTGATTTTGCACTTTTACATGTTACTCTTACTGTATAATTCTCTGGTCTGATGTTGATGCAGCCTAGGGATTTAGTTTTGACTTTGGGGAATATTAAAGCAAGGGATAATAAGAGACATATATTCTAGCCCCAAGTTTTTCTTGTGGGAGTTGTTTAAGCACCCTGGAAAGCGTGAACCTACTCCCCCAAAGAATCACCTAACCTAAATCACATAATAAGAGCTTGGAGCTCGAATATTTGCCCCAAGCCAAAGCTAATTCCCTAGGCTGCATCAGATGTTTTAATGGAATTACAACTGGAAGGTTGCTGAGCTGGGGATGTTAACTGGGTAACCTCACTGTCTTGCAACCCTCTCATTTTGTTGATAGTAATGGGAGTGTGAAGGCTGACCAAGTTTTGGTCCCACTGAAGTGGGATCCTGAGACAGAATTTGGAAGTAGTGTTATCATTTTATGTTTTTGCACAAAACGGCTGCTTTCAAGACTTGAGTTTGTGCCCTTGCGATTGCAAATGCAAGGCTTTCACTAGCATGCCAAGCAGGCCAAACTGAATAAGATTTATTATGTTTTGGTAGACTGGATGATGGAATGAATGGAACATTTATTGTTAGATAGAAACTGTGCTTCAGAGAAATTCTTGAGATATCCCTGCAACTGCAAGTGATAAGTTGAAGTGCTTGTTGAGAAAGTTTACAGGCTACTGCTGAATAAGGATATTACTAGTATAAGGGCATGAAAAGGTGAGTTTATGTGCTTGTGCAGCTCATCAACTTCAAGCACTTTGAGTGATTTGTTTGGATATTTATGTGCCATGCTTTAATCAAACTGTGGCTTGGATTAGTTGGAGAATGGGGCGCAATGATTGTATTCTGAGAATTCGCAGACACTGTAACTAAGATGTACTAGCATATTGTTAAAAAAGAAAAAAAGGCCTCTGAGATTAACTACATTCATCCTGTGAAATGTCCTTGACAAAGAGAGTGGCCCAACCCTGATGTCTTTCATCTCCCACAGTTTTGCTCAAATGTATCATGCCCCTTGACCACTTTCTGTTTCTGTTTCTTCTTTTGCGGACTTGCTAGATTTTCAATTTCTCTTCTGACGGGGTTTTTTTTCAATTATGGATTTGGTCTAGTTGGGAGAACCATTTGGGTTCCTTTCAGGCAGATGCTTCCCCACCTAATCAACCTGCTACTGTACTACCATTATCACTTATCATGCCACTTGTGCTATCTTACATTAGCATGCATTTAATGCCTATTTGCTGCATTTTGCAAAATGGAAAAATATTTTTCTGAAGACCAAGCAGTACGAGACTGATGGAATCCTAGGCAGTCGATGTTATCAGCACCCATTGCAATTTCAGTAGTGCTTGGCTAACTGATACCCTGAACGCATATGTCATGGGCAGTAGGAATCTCCTGCTTCCATGTCTATCTGGATCATCGTCCTTCAAATGCTGCATGATGTTCTTAGGCTTATAAGTTTTAATGATGTTTTTTATGCTTTCTAAATCTATTCTCGCTCTGTTATGTTGCAGGAGATACTACTTCAGTTTATACCTTGAGTTATCTGACATTATGATGCCATTGGTTAGAGCTGTTATTGACAAAGTCAGCAATGCCATTTCATTCTTCCTAGTAACCTTGATAGGTAGGTCATTAGGACTCATCTGCACTGGAATTAGGCAGTCCCTGCGATGGAAGTAAGATTTTAACGGTACATTTTCTGTTTCAATTGCAATTTTGTATCTCATCCTTTATAATTAGTATTATTTTTGGATATAGCCGTAGGTGTTGGAAGATCCGTTTCACTTGTGATGTGTCATTAGAACCTTCAATTTTTTGCTTGGCCACTTGAGGCCTTTCTTAAATCATTGCTTAATAAATCTCAGAATCTTCACCAGTTTCTGTTAAAGAACTGGCTTCCCCTGTGTTGTTGATAATATTCGTGCACACATGAGGTCATGGATTCCCCAGCCACAAAGAGCATGTTCACCTGTCAAGCTCCATGGACAACCCTCCCTCCCCTCCACGATAATATTGAAATTCTAGTACTCTGCAGGGACAAGGGCATGGTAGATGGCTGCTGAAGCTTAGGAGTTAGGGGCCAAGTTGGCTCAATTGAAGGGTAGATTGTATTTGGCATAGCAGCACAAATACTGATTTTCTCCTTTGATTGCAAAGTAAAAAGTTCATATTAAGATTGTAAAGACAGAAAACAACACTTTCTTCCCTTCATGCAAACATGACATGATTCGGTAGTTATAGTAAGAGTGAGCAAGGCGATGACGATGAATTGCCTGAATATTTCGGTATTAGTAGTATTTTTGGTTTAATGGCTAGAGGTAGACTTGAGGTAGTTCTTTGCACCAAGGTTGCATTTGGACTTGGTTAAAAACTTAAGAGATTCGATACTAAGGAGGGTAAAATTTTAGGGTGAAATTTAAGGATGTAAAGAAGTATTAAGAGATCAAATGTTAAAAGGATGTTTGGTAGGGGTTGAAAAAATTAATAGGTAATAATGAGATCTATGCTTGTTAAATTAGATTTATATAAATGATATGAATGGGTCTCACATTTTTAAAGTGGATCAATTAAGAATTTAGAATATGATAAATTAAAAAATTATATAAGATGGGATCGATGTATAATAAATGATGAAAGTAAGTAAAAGGGAGACCCGTGCTGCATTTAATTGGAGGGTAAAATGTTACCCTCGATTTTTCACCTTCTCAACTATACTGTGCCAACCGTGGGAAACGAAGGCTATTTTCTTATATTTTAGGAATTGTATTTGTAAATATTTAATTGCATTTAATTTATTTTTATATTTTCAATCTATTTTTCCGTAGGAGTTAAGGTTTTATGTAGTATTTATCATAAAGTGAGTATCAAAACTCCTCTGGTAATTCTCTAATAGAAGTTTTAGGATCCTTAAAATATTAATTTCTCGATTAATGGAGAAAATACTCCATTTTCAGTTTTTATACTATGAACGTCACACATGGCGAATTTTGATGTGAGAGCTAATTAGAACAACAATGAAAAATATAACGGCTCATCCAAACAAATCAAAAGTTTTATGTAAAATTAAAGGGATAAATTAAAATTTACCCTATTTGTATTTGGAGTCTACAGACTGTAGCTGTGTATGTTTGTTTTGCATGTACCATGTAGTTTTAAAATCTAGGCAGAAAATGGTGGGAACACAAAACAATGAGAAAGAGACGGGCACGTGGATGATAAATCTTTTCAAAAGATTTCAAAAGCAAAAGTAAATTTCAGAAGATTATAGTTGTGCCCTACCATCTTTACATGATTATCTCTTTTGCTAAGAAACTTCTTATTATTCATTAATCAATTCATGGCGTCCACATCTTTTTATAAAGCAACGTCTCCCGCTTTGGAACTCCCATCTTTTAACTGCATGCCCTAATTATAAGAGATCCACAAGCTCTGCATGTGAAGATTTTCAGAAATTTTGCTTTAGTTATTTATTTATTTATAAATAACATGATATTTTAGAATTAATACATCAATTAAAATTAAATTTATCATTTTTTAAATTAGATTAGTATCAAATCATGTCTAGTTTTTAATCAATATCAAAAATCAAACTTTTTAAATTCATTGATAGTTCTGGTTTAATATCACAAAAAAAATCTTTAAGGATAAAAATGAACTAATAAATTAGAAATAATTTTCTGTAATTCCGAAGTTGTTATTTGTATGGAGAAGAAGATCTCTCGGTAGCATTTCTCATGGATGACCTGTAGGCGACAAGACAGGCAGAAAACACACAAAAACACGACAGACATGGGGAGAAGTCATAATAAGAGGGCCGGCGATGCATCACTGTCCAAAACCAAAGAAAATGTAAGAACTTTGTAATAAGTTTATTATCACCATATAAATTTAGTATATTTCTTTTTACGTACAATCATTGGACAATTATGAAATATGTTGGACGTTGTTTTTCCTTCGTGTATTGGGAAGGGAGGGCCACACTGGTCATGTCGGCTTTTCAACCTTTATTTTGTTTTTGCGCAGCAGTGACAGGAACCCTACAGGAGGGAGGAGTCGTGCAGATGGTACTGTAGTGATTTGATTTAGACAATGAATCATGACTTTGTTGATGATCTCATTAAAGATAGGAAAATGAAGTGCCGTTCGATGGTTTCATTTTGTCTTTTTTTTTTTTTTAGTTTATATATATATTACAAGTAACTGAGTATTATCAGATTATGTCTGATTTTAAAAACCAGATTTGTTAACCAACCAGCTTATGTTCTTTACTTTTTTAATGAATAATAAAAATCAAACTTTTAAACAGATAAATTAGAATAACTATTTTTACCATTCCACCTCAATTCTTAAAGATGATGTATTCATCTTGTATTTACTGGAACGGGACAGCCTCTTGCATGACTAGCAATGTGTTCAATTATGACGAGTTAGAATCTCGAGCATTGCCCAGAGAGCACATTTTAAGAAAGTATGTGCAAATGTGAGAAAGTAAACAATTTTAAAAGAAAAGAAAACAAAACTCAATAATTTAAAGAAAAAGGTTATACCTTGTCGTCGAATTTTTTTATTAAATTAATTTTTTCTTGCCATATGAATTTCTTTTAAAAAAATGATATATTACTCTTTATATTTATATTTGTATTTTTGAATAATATTTTATTATATTTTAACAGTGAGTTGAAATAGAAAAATGAAATGATAATTAATCGATTTTTATAAGTTTGTATGAGAAAAATAAAATGATAATTAGTTTTGAGAAATTGATAAAAAAAATATTAATAAATACTTTTGTTTTACTCTTATGGAATATTCACCAGACAAATTAATTCTTCTTGGATTCAAATGTATATATATTTTGAGTTATGCACGTTAAATTCATTTATTATCATTCATAAAATAATTAATACTATTACTATTATGAGCAAGAAACTCTAATCTTATTTGAAAAGGCATAGTGTTAATAGGTGTTTTAAAAATATTAGCTTTATCATTCTATTTAAAGAGAAATTAATTTTGGAACTTTGAAAAATAAAATAAACAAAAGAAAAAAAATTTCTTTAATGTGCACGCGCTAGTAACAACTATTGAAAGTTATGCTTCCTTAATGATAAGAGTAGTAAAAATTTTACTTATATATTTTCAAAGGTAAAAAATAACCTCTTATAAAAATAAAAAAGAGATTTTTAGCAATCATCATTATCTATTAACAAAAAATAAAAAATCTCATCTCTTGCAAGATCGAAGAAAGCTGTAAAGTGAAATTTCATTTTTTTCTTTAATAATTTTTTCTATTTTAATTTTACATGTCCATATAATATTTGACTTGCTGAATTTTACCTTTATCTATTAGTTTCGCTTTTTTTTTTCTCTCATAAACCTAACTTTTTACTTGATTTTTTTTTTACTTAGATATTCTCATCCCATATTAAAAATATGACTAATTCTACTCGAAGCGGGAGCGACAAGATTTAATTATTCTCAATATGCAACTCCAAAATTAAAACTTTGCACATTCGTAGAAAATTTTTCTGAATATCAATTCACTTACCACTAAATCAACAACTTGTTAATATATATATATATATATATATATATATATATATATATATATATATATATAATTAATGATGATAGCTAAAAAATCTCTTTTTTTTTTAACTTAACAAAAAGTTAGTTTTGACCTTTTAAAAATCTGCATCTAAAAATTTTAACAACCCCAATCATAATAACTTTCAAAAGATGTTAATAACTTGTACCCATATTAAGGATATATATATATATATATATATATAAAATCTAAAAAATAGGAATCAAATATGTTAGACAAATATTGGTAAATACAGACAAAGTAAATAGATTGCATATTAAATCGATAAATCATATATTATAGAATCCATAGCCTTCCGAGTTTTTTTTTGTTTTTTGTTTTTTGTTTTTAATCCACAAGGATTGTAGGAGGGGTTAAAAATTGATAAACAAAAAAAAATAAAAAAATTGAACACATAATATATTAATTTTTTAAAATTTATTTTCTCGATATACTTTTTAATAATAATGGTCAAATACTTATCATTGATAACAAGTTTTGTTTCACTTGTAATTAGTAATATAACTATGTGTTTTTTCAGCATTTGATTTTATTAAACTCAAAACCAAACAAAAGAATAATAAGCTTAATATAGTAAAATAAAAATTTTATGCAGCGGTCAAATAATTAAATTGTTGTCCAATAGATTGACCATCATTGAGAAATCTGAAAACACGATAACATATACAAAATATTAACTTCGAATGTGTATGTGTTTGTTGCATAATATAAATTTCATTGAATATTCAAATCTCAAGCGTTTGGTCCCTTGATTTAGTATTTCATAAAAAATAATTCATTTAAATTGAAGAAAAAAATATTTTTTTTATAAATTAATATACATATATCAATATAAAAATAGTCCAATCTTATTTGAAAAGCATGGCAGTAATTAGTTAAAAAATGTTATTTTTATCATCAAATTCCAAAAGAAATCAAATTTAGAATTTTAAAATTAGAAATATATCGGGCATGAGCTAAAAACCCAAGCCAATATAAACCTAGACTTGGTATTCTAGCCTAGAATAAAGTATAAATTAGTCCCTCGTTTAGAAAAAAAAATTAATTAGTTTTTTTATTTATTTTAAAAACT